TACCATCACAGGAAAGATCTCGTAAAAATGGTGTTCTGCAGGTTCTCTGCTAGGATGGAATATGTAGATAAAGTATATATTTTCAGGTTTTACTACTTTCCCCAAGGTGCTAACTCTGAATACAACCTCGTGTTCCTGTAAGAAAATCTGATTTATGGCTGATTTGGCGATCATAAATTGTATCTTAAACAGAAAAGCCTTTATTTCTTTGATGAAGAAAAGTAAACATGACTTAATGATTTCCAGAAATAAGCAATGATGTTATTTTCTGAAGGTTGAATGAAAAAAAGACAAGTTTGTTAGAACAGCTGCTGAATTAAGTCCTTATTGGCAACATTTAATTGAATTATTGCTGTTTTACCAAATTTCCCTTAAAAGTATTTCAGTGCATTTCTAAACCTTTGTTTTCAGATGTTAGCGCAGGTTATTTTCTATAGAAACATGCACCAATATATCTATCGAAAAAATATTTTGAAGTCAAATTGAATTTTCTTTAAATTCTTTGAATAAGCCGTTTTATTCTTTGATATTTATATATTATCATAAATAAATCTCATTTTTAAAGTAATTTGGCAAAATGGCTTTCAAAACAGATAATTAACAGTACATTATATAAAATTTAAATCAAAAATTTTACTCCCTCCTCTGATTGGTATATTTTATATTATCTAGAGGTTGTTTCTACATAAATACGGGGAAGTAAAATCTTGGCTACAATTCAGAATCTTATAGGAATGTCATAAATATATGTATTTGATTGCAAGCTATGTATGCAGACACAGCTACTGACCCCGCAACGATCACCAATAAATATTTCAAAGATTTTCTCCTCGTAAGATCAAAGTAATCTTTTGTTTTGATACATTATTTCTATGTAAAACAAAAAAAAAATGTTTTGATGCATTGCATGTTTCTATGTAAACCAAAAACCACAGTACATTAAAGGTTATCTTTTTAAATAATAAAATACGAGTATATGGAGATGAAGAACATTATACAAGCTCAAAAATCCATTAAAAACTTCGAGTTTTTGAGCAACTTTTCAAGAGAAAGATTGCAGAACTATGAATATAATTTGCATCAAAACATTTCATAAAAGAATATCCCCCAAAATATTAAAAATAATTTGACAGCAGAGGTAGGATTAGGTTCCTATGATATTTTACGGTATCATTCTGTCTAGCATTACCAAATATCAAATTCCTACCATTAACGGTTCTCAAGATATAAGGTGTGGAAGGCGGCCAGACGGACTGACAGAAGGACTAAGCAGAGTGTTTACATAGTATGGCTCTGCTTGCAGGCGACATCATTTATGTTTTGCTTTTATTATCATATATACTTTGTTTTTGTTATTCTTGTTCTGTTATTTGTCATCGCTTTAATCGTTTGTCTTGCATCTTGTCAGGCAAATTGTTAATTCAGAAATACCCTGATAAATATTTACCAACTCCATATTACTATGAACTGTTCTAACCGGAAGGAACTGCATATAAGCTGTATACCTGATATGCATTTAGATAATAACGTGTATGAAAAATATGGAGATAACGAACAGTATTCAAGATCAAAAGTCAATAAAACAATACAAAACAGGGGCAGAGCAAACAAGGTGATGAAGGTATATTGCTGCTTAAGTAAGGAAAGTTGACGATAGAAAATTAAAGTTAACTTCATCACGTTTATCATAGAGCTTGCTTGTTAGTTTACCATTATCATCTTTTTCATGTAAAATATCCAACGAAACGGTTGTGACAGAACATTTTTTGATGCATTGTTTCTATGTAAAGCAAAAACAACAGTACATTAAAATTTATATTTTTTTTAAATGTATGAAATATATGGAGATAAAAAACAGTATTCAAACTCAAAAATCCATATAAAAATGTTTCGAGTCTTTAAAAAAACTTTTCAAGAGAAAGATCGCAAAACAAGGGATATACATTGTAATTTGCATCAAAACATTTCATAAGACAATATCCCCAAATAACCATTAATTTGACAACAGAGGTACAAAAAAGATGCCAATGGTATTTTACAGTATCATTCTTTCTAACAAATATCAAATCCCCACCATAAACACTTGTCAAGATATAGACGGAAAGACAGACAGATAAATGTCGAGCAAGGTGATCAATTCCTAAGTATCTCTCTGCTAGCTCAGATGACATTAAATGTTATGCTTTGCTTATATTATCATATATACTTTATTTTTGTTATTTTTATTCTATTATTTGTCACCGCTTCAATTATTAGTCCTTTTACTTGTCAGATGAATTGTTTATTCAGAAACAGCCTGATAAATATTTACCAACTCAATATTACTACGAGCTGTTCTAACCGGAAGGAACTGTATATAAGCTGTATATGCATTTGAATAATTATTAATTGATTTTATAGAAACTATACAATGTATGTCACCGGTTTATCAAAACTTGATCACGTAAATGACATTTGAACGGGTTTGTGGGGTTTTTAGTCACCCTTAATTCATTAGCGGGCATCATTGTGAATCATGACGTCACGCCCTCCATACAACACGTGAAAATTCGCTCACCCAACCCTTCCATCAATATATGGTTTTACCTTGAATAACATTTTTGGATATTCAAAGTACTTGTACCATAGGCTGTAAAAGTTGAAGAAATTTCTTTTCCAAGTGTCTTCGGCTTGTTTTTGAATATTTTTCAGATTGAAACCCTGCTATGAGAGCCACCTCTTTGTCACGGCTGCTGATCCCGAGTTTTGTCTTATTACTATTTACTAATCAAATTATATTATAAGTACATTATAGAAAATAAGAAATTCAACAACTTATTCCTACCACACCAACAACAGAATTTTCTTATAAAATATATGACGCGTCTTTTGCTTTGTATATCTGGTGGATACTCCCTGATGTGATTAAGAACGACAGGTAACTGTGAAAGAAATATTTATCAACAACCACAGAATTTATGGTACGTCAGTTTATTTACCTACAAAGTGGTATATTTCATTATCTACTTAGTATTCACTGTTCAATCAAAAAATAATAATAATAATTAATTCGGTGAACCTGCACTTCTGATTGAGTAGTGATCTGAATTTCAGGCTTCTTGTTGCATCACAACATGAGAAACTTTTCTCAAAAGAAATAATCTCCAAAGGGAAGTAATTTGCAAGCAACCAACGAACCAAACTGTTTATTACACGCAGTTACTATATAGTATGTCTTGAGAGATAGTCAATACAAATCTATAAATGAAAACTAAGAAATTTCAGGTCAAAGACTGAAATGAATGACGTCACCTCAAATATAGTATAAATAAGTCCTCCAGACATGTCACCTTCTGAATAAAGATAATAAAAGATAATGTTATGCATGTAGGAGAAAGAGTTTCTGACTGGAAGATAGAACGACACTGGGTTTTCGTGAGAATAGTTTATTAAGAAGATAAAACCTGGTATATGCTGCTCAATGTTTCCATCCTATATCCTGGACAAACAGACACAAATACCACCAAACACAATAGTTCACTGGTAAGACACTCAGAATGAACAGTTAATAGGGTGCTACAGAATGTTGCCTCGACATACTCGTCTGCAGATTAAATCTTAAGTGCATTCAGAATGCAAGATAATGTAGACCCTGATTTATTTAGACCATTGTGTCGACTTCCGTGTGAACCCAAATTAATGCCATTGTTCATAAATGTCAGCATCCCGACAGAAATAGGTAATATAACGAGCAGTGGAAAAGCCTGTGTAGTGGAAAATGACCACACGGGGATGCGGCCCGATAGAGAGACAAAAGCTATCAACATTGAATGAATCGACAAGTAGGCCTAGCCTAGCACGTTTTGTACTGCCACCGTTCAAAGAGTTAATTTTCGCGATCCCATGGTCCTTACAACTTTCAGACAGAAGTTGGTTTGATGTAAAGCTCAAGCAATTGTCACATAATGTTTACAAAAGACACAAATAACTAAAATTCTAAATTTTGAACACGATCTACTTTCTTTCGAGGCATGTCAACATCAACGGTGCTACGTCATCAAGTTATACGCCATCAATATTTGAATTAGCAATCATTCATGTAGTTTTGCAGGGGAAGTCTCATAGTTTTGATAAAACGAAAGTCGTATGAGATAAATAGAACATCTATTTAATATTGGCTTTATCCAACTCGTTGGAATGGTGTATATTCGCTCGGCAAGCCTTGCGAATATATATACACCATTTCAACTCGGTGGATAAAGCCAATATAAAATCACAAAATATAGATAGGAAATCTATTTATTCAATAGAAGTTTGCTTAAAGCAATATGAGCTGCATTTTTGATAATTTTATTTTGCCGTCAAAATGTGTTAAAATGATAATTTGTATGTAACTTAAACCTTTATGATCAATTAAACTAAAATAAAGCTGAAGAAAGACTTCTATATACAATCCAATATACAGATTTACATAAGAAATAATTATTGTACAGGACAACAATAATCTAATTTTGATTCAAACGAAGCTTACAAACAGTTTCTATCCCAAATATAAACGACAGAAGTTTATTAACGTTATTTTTTTTTCTCTCATTGAAATAGTTATTTACAATTTTGAAGCAAAAAATTCTGACATTAAAGTTGCAGCTCATATTGCTTTAATAGGACATTTATATTTGTTAGATCGACAACTTATTATGACAGAAACAAAACCGTCTTTTCGCGTTTTCCCAATAAGTACAGTCACGATCATGACAGCTTCATGTATGACAGGTGTATTTATTAATTCTTGCACTAGTGAGATTTTTTGTATGCAGCATTGTTGGTTAATCCAATGTCAATTTAGACTGATGTTGGTTCCTTATTCCTATTTTGTATATATATACAATCTGAATCTATAAAAAAAAAATCTTTTATATGCATCGATCTTATTTTCAAACCAATGTGCATTCTTGTGACATGGCTTTAGCAATTGCCACAATGATACTTTGAAAAGTTCAGATGTTTTATTCATTTCAATAAAAAAATTGGAGATAATGGTACAAATCTTCAAACATCATTCTACAAAAGAAATGTATAAATATGAACATAATGAAAACTTGATTATTACTTATGATTAATTGCACATGAGAATCAACTCAATTTAATAGTTCTTCTTTCCCAGGTCCATTTCTGAAGCGGACTTTGTGAGCAATTGCGTACCACAACTATTCCATTGTTTTTGTCTAGTTCCATGCATGCATTATTGATATAACTTTTAATAAAATTTTCCTGAAAAAAATATAAATATTAAAATTCGATAATATTGATAGGTGCCATCAGCCAGTGTAACACTTAACAATTTTAAATTTTTTGAAAGTTAACAGGTTTAGAATTTTAATATACAAGCATTAGTTCAAATATCTAGATCTCAAAAAACAAAACAAACAAAAAAAAAACAAAAACAAAAACAAAAACAAAAAAAAAAAAACAAAACAAAAAAAAAAAAACAAAACAAAACAAAAAAAAACTGATTTCGTATTTTGAAATTTGAATGTGAATTAAAAATGTTAAAATCGTTATCCTCTAGACATTTTCAAAAATAAAATTATACTTGTTACACGGACCTTTTCAGTTTCAAAATTTCCTCTGTGTTAGACGTTTTCTCACAAGATTAATGATACGGAATTTAACCAAATCAGAACTCTAGAAGAAACAGTACCCGTGTGTATTCCCATTGTAGATATTTGCTGAGCGTTGTACATGGTCCTACTAATACACTGTTTATACCATTATACACCAGACAACCCTCGTCTCTTCTAATGGTGTTCTCACGTGTCAATGTCCAATGCTGATGAATAGCAAATTTTTCATGTTTCATATTTATTGAACATTGCAATAATTTAACATCCAGAAAAAGCAACTTTTTTTTCAATTTTAAGGTAAGGTTTGCGTTAACAGGGAGATAACTCTTGCGAATCACCAAAGCGTTTGAAACAGGCGACTTTAAACCAGCGATGCTAAGCATCTCGGTAACGAATTTCCTCTGTCATACTTGATGCTTGTTGTCACTTATTGTTAGGACTAAAAACAAAGGACGTTTTAAGGAGAAAGTCTTATAACAAATCAAAGCATAGGAATCTTAAAAGCCTTTGAGATTAGCGTGATGCATGTGGATGAACCAATAAAGGAGGACTTGTTTATTTTCGATACGGAATGTGGCAAGTTGTAGGCTATTCCGATCAGAAGTTATCGACGCATTGTGCTGTTGTGTGTTTCTCGCTTCACCACTACACTAAAATTTTAAGTGAGAATGGGAAGGAAAAAAGAAAAGACCTGAGAGTATCCTGTAAAGTATTATGCTTTATGCAGTCCGAACAGGGAAGAAAAGTCACGGTGCATTTGACCATGTCCAATGATGATGTTGACAGTTTGATTGTTGATAGTATTTTCATCAGGTAATTATTTAACTATTCATTTTACTGAAAGTTATGAATGATCTACTGACTACGGATTTAAAAGCGATGAATAAACGGTACAAGGATGTCAGGATGTGACTAATATCCCAACATTGCCAAAAAATAAAAATGCATTCATTCAAGAAATTATGAAAAAAATCCTTGCTTTTTAGGCCTAATATTTGTAACATTATTGGAACAGGTATTCAATTGTTCAAGTTACCTTTTAAATGAGGTTTGATTTTAATTAATATCTCATTTTTTAATTAATACAAATTGTGCATGACAAGAACATTAATTTTCTTGATCAAGCATTTGCATTTCACTAATTCAATCTACATGTATAAATTGTACAATAATTTCATATTGATTCTGCATTGATTATATTGGAAATTTCATTTCATTGAGTGAATGAAATTCAGTCCAATTCCTTATGCAATTCCAAAAATGCAATTCCTTAAATGTTATTGTAAAAATGAACACATATGATTTCAGATCAATTGGGTCATTAATTGGAATAGATAAGAACAAAAAAAAAGTACTTCAGTGTTTCCTTAAAAGATTTGTGCCATCAATCAAAGTAGAGGTCATCCCATATCAGCTCAAGAATATTAAAGAAAGTTGGATGGATCAAGCTAAGATGTTGAACCAGACATGGCAAAGTCAATGGAGATTTGGAAAAGAAATGATGATTTGTTGTACCCAATGCATATTTTTTATATGTCTATAGATTATAGAAAAAAATTTAATGTTTAACAGCATCCTATCTACCTGGTAGTATATACATGCTGTTTTCAATATATTTAGAAAATATGTGTATGTGATGATTGCAGTGCATGCTCTGTTTGTCCATCTTTGAATTTGTTTTCAGTAAAATAAATGTATACATTAAGGTATTAATTGAAGGTTGCTTTTGTCTACACTTACAAGTAACAAGTTTCTTAAAAGGGTTATTTTGTAAAATTGCAAGGAAATTAATACATGAACAATTAAATTTAATATTTTTATTCATTAAATTTTGTTCTTACCAGGACCTAATATGCTCAAATAAGTATTTCTGAAAACTGATGAGATTTGTAAATAAAGCTGCAGTGAACATTTAACAGTTTAAAATATGACACTAGGAAATTGAAAGGTTGTTAATTTAGTAGGAATGATAAGACCAGTTTAGTAATCAACTAAAACTAAAATCTTTCACAAATACATGTAGTTTATTTTAAAATTGTTTTAATTTATAATCTTTTAATTTTTTTCTGTATTTTGATTTTAAAAAGGAGAAAAAAAATTTATATTTAAATTATTATTTCATGGATATCAAGGAGATATATCTATCACTGTAACATTGTTTCTTTTTCCCTGTTCTTGACAAATATTTATGGCAGTGTTATGTCATTTTGCAGAATTTGCCTTTTCTCTGAAATCAGAAGTACTCTGTAAACTCATTAAAGTATGAATTGATGTCACTTAGAATTCATCTTTATTTTGTTCTGTCTGATATTTCAATTTAGATTCTCAGACTACCTAATCCAATGATTGAGCTAATGTCCATGAAGTGTACAAATAGGCCATCTTTAAGATATGTTTGGTTGTCGGCCTCTCCAGACCGACTGACTAAAATGACCAGACTGAAATTTTTTTTTCAATGCAGGGCCGTATTTTTTCTTTTTATTCCTCTTATTCCCCGTAAAGAAATGTTGTTGAAGATTTTCTCACCTACCGACCCAATAATTTTACCCAGAGTCAAGAGAGGGCAAACAAACATTACTTTCAAGATAGCATTTCTACTCTTCGAAGTAAAGAAATCATTTAATTATAAAAACAGCAGCTTCGTGGATGCAATGCTTACAACATTTCACTCAAAAGATGGCATACATGTATAATGATAGTCACGAGACATAACTGAATAAAGATATTTTGCTACGAAGATGTCTAGAAATTACTACATGTTGGAATAACTAAATCAGCATGAGGTCAAATTCAGAGGCTTTTAATTGGGTTAGTTGCAACATGTTCTGAAGTATGTTTATAAACATATACATGTACTTCTAAAGGTGTTGCAGTATAATTCATGGACAATTTCATCAGAATATTCAGATGTAAAGATTGCCATAAATACTAGATTTCTTCCATGGAATAAATTTTTAGACCATCTTGTAGCACAGGAGGAGTTTTATTTTGAATATTTTTGGCCAAGTTTTGCTTAAAAACAATATCAAAAATACATTTAGTCTTTAACATTCACCATGACAAGGTGATATCAATGTTGTCTTTATAAGTGTAGAAAAAACCTGATTGTTGTGTTCCGAACCCATAATATAGCCCCTGTTTCCATGGAAATAATATTGGGGACATACATATTTTTTTGGTTCAAATTATTTAAAATGATCAAATTAATAACTTCATGGAATTTGATGGAATCGGTAGATATGTAAAACGTTGATTTTTATATTTTTGTTGCCATGGCAACGGTTTCACTTTATCAAGGAAAATTGAAAAATCTTCTTTTTTACCCAATTTTTCACATTTTTGATAACGGAAAATTAATAGTTTAAATAATAGAAGCATGAATTATACTAATTCAGGTCATTTTAATTATAAAAGTTTGATAATTAATAAAATAAATCAATTTTTTCAATGAAAATAATATTCGAGGTGAAATATGAAATACGTTAAATTTGGCGTCTTTTACTAAAAAAATGGGACGGGCAATATCTTTGAAAATCATATTAAATGATGAAGCTAATCTCCCTGAATAAATTGATATATGGCATGTGTGCATATTAAAAAAAATAAAAGTTGGAGGGAGACGCAAACCTTACCTTAAGTTGGGATACAATATATAAACCATATTTAAATTACAAGGATTGAAAACAAGTAGTTATATCATTTGTTAAAAATAAAATCTGTTGAAGAAATAAAAATGTTTTTATCTATATTTTTTTATAGTATTCTTTGAAATACCTGCGACATTCCTACAGGAACACATCCTTTGACAGAAACGGGTTTGCCAAAGAAGTTTCCACTGGTGTAGGAGTCTATACACATATTGTTAATCTTTATCTAAACAAAAATTCGTAATTTGACGTCATCGTTTGTTCGTAAATCATAACCCATTAATGACGTAATTTCATGTTTACATCAGTATTTATCTGTATATATTAAAAATAAATGGAATTACATTGTATTTTTCCCAAATTATACAGATTTTGACTTATTTAGGAAAATAGGAATATTTTTCTCGCTTTTCTTGACATTGTGGAAGTTCACTTTTCATCATGTTTTCTGTATTGTTTTCAATGTCACGTGTTACCTGACCAGTGGCTTTACACCCGTATGGAACATACAACTCTGGATACACGTATTTAATGTACCAGTCAAACGATTTACATTGTAGTGTCTCCCGAATGGCCTTCCTCTCTGATACGTCTCCTATATTAACCTGTAACCAGACAGTCATAACAATAAAGTCTCAGAATCCAAAAATAATTAAGTCAGCCGTCTTGAAAATCTAAGTAAATTCACTGAATACAGAAAGGTACATCACAGTGGTGTAATAAAATCCACAATTCCAGCAACACTAGGGATCTAAAGCTTATTACAGTTATCCTTCTTTTTATGTTCAGTTTGACCTAAAAATATTCTTTGAATATGCTTCTACCTTCCAAAGCACTTTTTTTATGTAAAGGTTAAGAGAAATTACAATTTACAAAGAAATTTTAAGCTGAATAAAATCTTAGATTACTCTTACTATTGTCTAGATTGCAAATTATATCATGGTTCTTTCTCATTATAAACACTCGATTCTCTTCGTGGGAAGTGGAGACTGGTTCTTCGCATGAGACCATAAAAACCGAGGTCCCTTGTTGCAGTAGGTTCTAGTACGAAAAGGACCCTTACTGCTCAATGGTCGTAAGTGCCGATCGAGTATAGGACAAAATTTGGAGCTCTCCACCGACAAGGGGTGGTGTCTCCATATGAGTAAAATAATCTCGAAAGGGACGTTAACCAACATACAATCAATCAATTAATACATTTCACCGATCATGAACAGCATCTTTAATTTCCTTTGATCTCCTACAGAAAGACAGAGAACAGATTTCTCCAACTAGATATGTTGTCTAGGTGATGAAAGGGCAAAAAAGAGAGATGAACGTTTTCTATTATAAGAAAACAACATATAAGTATTTGAAGATGCTTATAATTTTAAGTAATGAATTACTTTTTCGAAAATTAAATATGAATTATGCTTTAAAAAAATTGTCTGTTTGCCCCTTGCCCCCTAGATCTATTTCTATTTGAGGTTATTCATATATCTCGAAACCAGACGTTGCAAATACAGTATATATTTTTGGTCATGCAAAATAAAGATATCTATTAGTAGATTCATAGAAAAACAAGTGTTTGTGCATTTTGATAAAAAAGACCAAGAGAAAAGAAAATTGGTTTAATTGTTCTCACATTGCTTTGGGTGTAAAAGATGCGATCATGGTAGATTCTCTTGTAATTGTCCATCCAGACCTCTGCCACCCTAAGAGCATTCCTAATCATGTTACCATAACCGTCTTTACCCCAGGAATACGGCATCACAAAGCGATATAAGTGGCCTAACTGGGAACAGGGGATTATCTCCATTTTACCACCACACATCCATGTCTGAATAAGGAAAACGGATGTAGTTAACATTGTATAATAATTTCTACTTTCTGTATATTGCTTTCGTTCTACATTCAGGAATTCATGTAGCTAAACCATGACAACGCTTACTTTTGTATGTAATTAATTAGATAATAATGGACAAAATCTCAAAGTAATGGCCAAAATATACTTTAAAAGAGAGTTCCATATTTTCGCCACCCCATATTTTCAGTTCGGGGTCATATCGTCCCAGTTCATTGAAAAATCGCCTGCTGATGGCAAAGCAGCAGCCAAGATGAGTAGGAGTTCTGAAATAGGGAACAGGATTATCACGTTTTCCAATGTATCTATTCATTAGTGTTGTGAAATTATAATTGTAGTTTTCTATCCAATTACCACAAAGGTTAAACAAAATGAATCGACACTACCTGATAATGCTTCAATTTTGAAATGACTGATCATTATACTATTCTTAAGAAAAATTTTTAAAAAGATTTTCTGTAAGTATTGTCATGTTAAACTTCGCCCTCTAACCCCAGGGGTTGTGACAAAAACAGCATGAATCAAACCAATGTAAAGAAGATTTCTTGTATTATCTTTCATTCCAAAGATATAAAAATGATTTTTTTGACATTCTTGGTTGAATTTACTTAACCTGATTGGAGCAGTCAAAGATCCGCGCCTTTTCTGTTCCCTCTCTGGAACTGTTCGCCATGAGTAGGTGAGATCGAAATTGAAGCCTCCTATAGACATATACTCCAAATTGGACCCTCTGTACTCAAAGGTGTCACAGTCTATTACGTCTGTCAGTGGGACAGGCACATTTCTATAGTCGTCTGCTATTCTCTCTAACAGAGGTTCTAGCCATCCTATATACAACAGATTAGAAACCGTAGTTTGTTTTTTTCAGTTTTTTTTTTTTTTTTTTTACGTATATTCGATTTTCGAATATTTCATAACTTCTCGTTTTAAAAAGTAAATTCTATCAGCAAAGGAAAATTAATAAGGAAGATTAAATCTTATAATAGGTATATACTATTTCATATATATGCAGTGCACACTTTTTCAATCAAAGAACGGCAACGAAAAAGAACCTTTGCTGATAATGTTTCAATGCAAAATAAACGTCCAAATTTCAATCTGAAAGTATTAAAATGTCCTCACACAATTACAAATATGTTTGACAGTCAGTTAAAGATTTGAAAGAAAAAAAAAAACAAGATTCCTGACAAAATGTTTCTTTAAATTTGATAACAAAACTTATTACAAAATCCATTTATTGGTCATAGACAAAACAATCTTCCTTTAAAATTGTAGAATAAACCTATTTAAATCATTATATTTTTGAAGAAAATTAATTTTTGCATTAATTACATGATTTTACATAAATGACGTGATAATGACTTCATTTCTACTCTACCTTCAGCACACTCACAATGGGAATCCAGAAATATGGCCACGTCTGTTTGAACTTGACTGAAGCCCAGATTCCTGGCCTGAATCAATCCCGTACGATTCTTAGCACGGACCAGCTTCACATTCGGGTATTTAGCTACCTCCTCTTCAAGCTTCTTACCCAGATGTTCTAAAAATAATTGAAAATCATTTAATGTAAATAATTTTTTATAGAGAAATGAAAAAAAAAAGTTTTACTTTAATTGTCCTAGTCAGAAAAGCTAGCGTTCAAGAGCGGTAAATTTTGAAATTAACAAACGGAAATTAAGTTTAATGAATCAATACAAAATTTTAGTGACGGGGGATCGGATGCCATGAAAAAGTAATCATCCCCTTCGACAAGTTACATCCGTTCTTTGCTCCTAGGTCTTGCCTTGGTCGAGAAAAAAAATCCGTAGAAATTTCACTGAAAATAAGAATCATCAAATAATATAAAACTAAAAACTTGACGATGCTGTTACCGTGGACCGAAGCGTCATCTACCAATATTACTTTCTTCAGAAGATGGGCTGGTGAGTTGTTCCATATGCTATGTACCGTCCGCCACAGGACGCTCCAAGCCTCGTTATAGAAAATTATCACCACGGATGCTGTTGGTAGGTCTTTTCTGTAGATTTTCTTTTTGCATCTGTGGAGAGAATGTTTCAAATTTGGATACGAGTATTTTTCTACTTAACATGCTTAAGAATGAATGAGTTGTAGGCTTTTCAATTCGTGTTTTTATTGTTATAATAGTGTGATTGTCGTATGACTAAAACAATGGAATATGTCAGTATATTGAAAATATTTTAATACATAACATGTTGATTTACTTAGATGGTTCTATGAATCTACTAAACAAATGTTTTAATTTTTTAGATCTGGGGTGTTTGATATATAGATTACTCTTTATTTTTCACATCTCCCACGTATCTATCTAGAGGTATCTGATCGCTGACAAACTGGTTAAATCCGTTCTTTTTGTATCCTTCTTCATACATCTGTCGCTCCCTGTCTGTAAGCAACGCCTTATTAACCGACATTCCTTTACCAAATTGACCTTTAAATAAATTGCTCATTTTAAAGGACAAGAGTATTTGATTTTATCACATGGGTGGGACTGGTGCAAAAGATAAAATGATTAAAAAATCTCCAGCCAACACATTAAAAATGAATAAAGGTATACAGCTGTAAGTTTCATCCTTTTATTTTTTAGAAAAGAAATATATTTCTATATGATAAATTACCGGTCATGTAGAGTAGGCTTTCCCCCCTAAAATCTCCCCCCCCCCTCTGGAAAAACTGGTTCTAAAGTAGACTATCAACCTGACTTTAGAGTAGGATTTCCCCCAGGAAAACTGGCTCTAGAGTAGAATTTCACCTGCGGAAATACCACACCAGAGTCAATTTTCCGGGGTAAAATCCTACTCTGTATAGAAGTTATAGAGTGCGATTTCCCCCAGAGTCAATTTTCCCCCCAAAGAAATATAATTTAAGGACAGATGATACAAACAAACCTTGAAGATTACAATTTAAGTCCTATTTTAATATGTAAAAATGTAAGTTAAATTTTTCATTAAAAGTTTCACAAAAATGGGATTTAAGGAGATTTAATGTGATAAAAAAAAATTGTATAGATTAATAAGTATGGTTACAGAAAGGTGTAAATTTGAACATGATAGTCTATTTACAATTTTCCAATAATTTAGAAAGTTTATTATTGTAATCATTTACAATCAAAGTAAGTCCAAAAATATATACCAATCTATACATCCATTTTTGTTTGTTTCATTATATTTTGAGAATATTTATATTTCATTTGAAAGCTTAATATTTTGATTGAGATTCCATGATTTGCCTTACAACATAAGTAAAAAAAAACCCACTCATTTACCTTTTAAAAATCAGTTTGTCGTTTATCTTTTTTTCACAAAAATGATTGCGGTTTTGGATTGTTTTGACTCTATAACCAGGGGGGAATTCTACTCTGAGAAAGAAAGAGGGGAAAATTTGGGTCTGGTGTGATATTTCCCCTCTGGGGGAAATCCTACTCTAGAGTACGATTTCCGGGGGGAAAGCTGGCTAATGGGGTAATCCTACTCTACAAAACCGGTCTTGTAGAGTAGGCTTTTCCCCCCTAAAATCCGGAAAACTGACTCTAGAGTAGAATCCCCCCCGGAAAATTGACTAATCTGAGATAGAAAGAGGGGGGAAATTTGGCTCTGGAGTGAGATTTCCACTCGGGGGGAAATCCTACTCTAGAGTACGATTTCCGGGGGGAAAGCTGGCTATGGGGAAAATCCTACTCTACAACACCGGTAGTATATAGCCATCTAGAAGATCAGGGTAGATAACTTTTACTTGTAGGTGGTACATTGTAAAAAAATATCTAGTTAAAGTCACGAAGAAAACTAGTAAATATACTGTCCATACAATCACTACCTTAAAAGTAGTTTTACCAGATATTGGTATATTTACTAGATAAGATTAGTAAATTTAGAATTGATATAAGTAACTTTCACTAGGTATCTAAGTATCTATACGACCCCCGCTCCACAACTCACTATCTTAACCAGTAAAATGAAAGTTTACTACTCACGACCAACACTTTACGAGGCACACTAGTTAAATTCACTAGGTTTTTCTTTCAGTGTACAGACTCCATTCAGTTGAAATAAAATGTCAGTTTTCTTTCAGAACCAGACATTTTTGGAAATTTAAATAAGATTTTGAGATTCTAAGGAGGAAATTCTGTCTGTTTTGAATATTTTTTTAATTTTCCAAACAATCAAAATGAAATTTAATTACCATTTCCATCCCGGTATATAGGATTCGGAAACTTCACAAAAATCCTTACAAGCAAAGATAAGGGGGTTTTAGTAAATGTTCTACCAAACCTCTTTATATTCTCCTCACTTAAATATTAAAATTAGTGAAGGAGAAACTTCAGGAGTACTGTGCACCAATATATATTGAAGAACTGTGCAACAATATATATTTAAGAAGTGGTTTTAAGCATATATGGATACTTAAAAATTTCAAGGAACCTTTGGAAAATTTGAAATCACAAAGTTAATCTAAAATCAACGACGTAAAAACTGATGACTTGTCAAATTTGAATACAATCATTCGTTGCAAAAAATTTTAGTCCAGGCTTTTTGACATCATTGACAGCTGCTTTTTAATAACAATGGAACTCGTAAATTTACTTTCCTTAAGCTTGTCATTGGTCATCTGCAAAATTATTTTGTTAAAAACATTATGATTGTACACACAAGTACTCTGTAAATGATATGAAAAATGCTTGAGTTTCTGAATAACAATATCTATGTGGAAACCAGGTCTTCACAATATATTGGAATTCCTATGGGTATCAAATTCGCCTCGTTATTGGCAGAATGTATTAAAATCTTAAAAGTGAATGGAATAAAACACTTGCTGTTGCCTTCAACTTGACATTTATATATATTGACGATGTACTGTCAAATAACAAAGGTTATATCAAATCTTTAGTCGATACGATATATCAAGCGTGAGACTCTTTTTTCAATGAAGGTTAATGGTAAGATTTTTTTTTTGTGAAAAGGGCTACATGTTTTTTAATGTTTTTTTTAGAAGCTCTAAAACAACATTCAGTTTATACGATGTTTTCTCAAGTGTCAACTAATCCTATACCTAGGAGAGGAAATAATAATAATGTTTATAACATCGATAGCTTGAATAGTACCTGGAGCTGATAAATTATATCTCTGATTCAGTGGAATAGTAGCTGTAAAAATCCCGTGGATCTCCCGGGTTATAAATCCTTTGTGTTCCTCTTTGTCGTCAGTTTTCGATTGATGGGATGTAACAGTCTCTTTCTTATCATTGTTTGTCATTTCTACTTTTTCCTGCTTGGGCTCTCTTCTTACGATGTTAATCTTCCACTCTTTTCTGAATTTGAATAACTCACTATCTCTGATGGACTGAAGCTGGAAATGTTCTTGCAAACCCCGTAAAATCAGCATTATTGTCAGTATCCACATAACTCCAAATGTTGTCATAATACAGAGTAATCTTTGATTCATGCTTTATTTTAGGAATGTCAGTAAAGTAATCTATAAAATAATTAAAAAATTGTATCATGAATATTCAACCAGTTAAAAGATGAGTAATCCGATTAATCCAGAGCACAAGGTTTTCTCGGTGCTATCTAGGCAAGAATAGTGCATTTATGAATACAACGTACAATAATCAGAAAAAGGCAAGTATCAATAATGATAGCCTGCATCAGACACATACCAGAGAGACATAATTATCAGGCATGTAAAAATGAGTTATATATGTTGGCTAACCAGTAATTAAATGGCATTGTGCACTTAAATTGACAAATCTAGTAAGTATATATCCTTTTAAAGAGGATTTTATTTCAAAAAACTTTGATGTATGTTAACGTAAAATTTTCTTTGTCGACACATTTAAGTAACATGTTAACATAATTGTCTAGAATGTTAACATCATCTTAAAAAACAAAACAATAACATTGGGTTAAATAATACGGCATGATGTACTTTAACATTCTCAACAAGGATTGTTACTTCACTACATTGACCAATATTCTGAGTTTTAAATACGATTATTCATCCAAAGATATGTTTTGTTTAAATGATTCGCTAAAAATTCAATCAATTCAAAAAATAAAAACTAAATGCAAGGGCATTAAATGAATAAATTACTAAATATTTCAATAAGAATATACGCTTAAGGAATGGTGTACATTGCTGAACCCACGTATTTGGAATAAAGTGTCAAAGAATTTGTTTGATTATGCAGAGTTTATTCCTTTATCTAACTTTGTTTCCTTTAAAAAAGAAAACTACCCAAATAAAAATATGAAAATCATACCAATATTAGTATTCTTTACTTAACACTTTTTCCTTTAGAATATTTTTCCTACTTATGGTTATATAGGATACATATTTATGTACGAAGTTGGGGAACATATTGTTTTTACTCTGTTTCTTATTATTAAGGTCTTCCGTTTCCAACGTGTTAAAATTGTTAAAAATAGAAATTTTCTTTTTCCTTTTCATTGAGGTATATGTACACATACTGCTTCATTAAAATGAATATATTTTTTCATTTTCATTTTTAATGACAAATTAGTAAATGATGTGCTTTGGTTTTCACGCAGAGTTGGGTGGGCGAACAACCCTTACTTATACAAACACTTGCATCAATAAATTTCCTCTTAACGTGTAATATGAGCATTCATAAAATGGTTGTTTAACATCTATTTGATGATCAAAGATTTCACGGAGATATGGGTGAAAATTAAACATTGGTACTAGCAACAGCTTGTGTAGACAACTCAATCATGACAAATCATCGCATATGCTATTGTGTGGTTTTGTCTGTGGTGTGCGAAGCGAAAACCTAATACATCTATCAATATAATACGATTAAACTAGAATTATCATACAACAACAATTGAGGAATATTTATCAACCAAGCCTTTAGTTTGAGATCACACTCTTCGTCAATATTGCTCTTCATATTTCGAACACTCTGTATAGACTGCGATTAATATGTTTCGTCGATGAAAGACACATGGTACGAACCATTTCTATATGTATTTTTAACATTTTTGCTAAAACTGATCCTAACATCAAATCTTAAGATAATTAAGAATCCTGTTGACATTCTATAGTGTTCAGATTCCATCCGTATTGACATTTCTTTTAATATATACAATTTTTGAAAAATTGTTACATTTTTCAGATTTTTTAATTGAAAAAAAAGAGAAATAACTATGCAAATTAACATTTTCTCTTATATATATTTAAACACATAATTCATTATTTTCAAGAGCTTTAAAGCAATAAATATATGATCTGTTCTTTATAATTACTCTTTTAAAAATACCGGGGTATTTCATAAATAAAAAAATTAAAACAGTTAAAAACAAAAAGAACAAAAAACAGTAAAGTTTTTCATTAAAAAGCTTGTAAAACACGGATTATTTAATAATTTGATAGGCATTCAATCCTCCAAACGAACAGAAAAAGATATATATTGATAATTAATTTTACTTTCAATACATATGAAAAAAGAAAAACAAAAGGCAATTTAAGTCAACTTTCCTAATTTTAACTTTCTTGTTCGGTTTGTAATACCATTTTCTTCATACTAGTATTTACAAACAAAAATATTATGCAGACCTACCTCTATAAAACTGTTCACTATTGACAAGACTGCATGTTACATGTACATAAGAATTAAATCGTCTTCTAAGATTGATTATTTAAGGTATGTATTCACTATGAAAACGATTGTTTGTTACATGTACATAAAACTTAAATCGTCTTCAAAGATTGATTAATTAAGGATATAAAAGAAACATCTGTTGCAGCCCATCCTAACCCACAGGTGCCAAGATCTGAGCAAACTAATAATGCCATTATAAATATCATCTTATTGATTTCACTTGCTATACCCCCTTATTTTATATTATATTATTTTGCAGTGTTTTCCGTTAATTATGGCCCACCCACCCCCACCAACCCCCCTCCCCCCATCACACTGCTTAGGAAGACATTTTCTTCAAATGATAAATAAAATCTTAAATAAAATGGAGAACAGAGCAAAAAAGGATTTCAAAACCTCTATAGATTCTTTTGTTAGTTCCTTAAGACAAGGATATTATTACGGTTGCATTCGATGACCAGGGAAAGCTTAGTCCTTCATGGTACCTGATCCCGCCTCTGAGGTTTTAGAGGTCAAAGTTTGTTCTGCTCCAAAATGATTTATACAGTATAATTCGAAGTTCTGGTCTCTTCGTCCCACAGTGGGATTTGAACTCTCGACGTAAGGATCAACTGTTTACTTCGCGACTCTAGAGCTGACCAAATACCTCAGTAATTTTAGTATATTTTCAATTTGAAATATATTTTAGCCACAACATGCATTTAAATTCATGAGCAGAAAATTCGAAATTGAATACACGTCACAGTATTCCTAAAACTATGGTTTTAACATCTTAATGTTTAAGTATCTAACCTTTCTTTAAAATTTATAATAAAATGAAGGATCACATACCTGTAGAACACAGCTAAAACATAAAAAACCAACAGCGGTAGAATAATACGGTGCAGTGCAATGATAAGAAATATATCGAATGTCATCGTGCAGTAGGTCAATAGACCTCACGCCTATTTAAGACAGAAATCAATCAGGGTATTCTATAGAAGTATAGAGGTACCTGCATAACGACCGAATTCAAGGCATATCTTAATTTCTATGTTACAGATCTTCCAAAAACTACTCTTGGTCTCCATATACAGACATGACAATATGATTTTAATTATATAATTTTTTAACTAAAATAAATCGTCTCCTTTATCCTATTTTTAATTTATACTGATATATATTAACATTCAAGAAAGATGGCAATGTTTGATCATTATTACCTAAAGGAATTTTTTCATAAAATCATTGATTCATTTAATTTTATTATTCCTTCTTTTGTTTAAGAAAATATTATTTATAGGATAGTTAAATCATCGGTTTAACTAAAAAAGCAATGTTAATTGTACCAATACGAAAATGATATTAAGGATAATTCTATAGTTAATTCAAGTGCTGATTTAAGAATGTTTTAATTCATTAGTTTTCATTTTATTTCATACTCTCGGATCACACAAATAGCACGAATGACCCGACATTGCACACTTTAAAACAATAAAACTAAACAGATTAAAATTTTGAAGGCGATACTTCTAGTTTTCCCTCCTTAAGTTTATTTTTGCCAAAAAGCAACTCTTTGCAAGGACATTGCTCTAAAGTTCCTGCAAAAAGACCCATCATTCTAACAATGCAACACAATTTACCACCTTTATAACACAACGTATATTAAAAGTTAATATATTGTTTATTCATAATAGTTTGTTTATATGTAAGGTATGTTCCAATTGTGTTACACTTTTTATTACATAAAAGCATGAAATAATTCAAGTTCTAGTATTTAAACATTTTTAATATAAACATTTTTACAAATGTACAACGTTAAATCCCCTTCAATTCTGATTTTACAAAAATATTATAGTATTCGTAAAAAAAAACCCTCATTACTTCTATGCTTATCCATTGCATCGACAATACAAATTTTGACAACCTACTTGGTTAGTTAGTAGTAGTAGTTAAGTAGTTAAATGTAAAGAAAAATCTGATTTACAACTGCTATAGACGAACGAAGGTAAACAGATAAAAATAACATCTGTATAATTAACGATTTCTGTAACAGCTGTCTTTCTTGTAATTATGGCAAATTAATTACCTGAAGTACACGAAGTAGGCAAAATATTAATTTGTAAAAAGAAAATATGTTTGTAATCTTACTTCCAGGGGGTAGTTTTTAACCATCGCTATGTTGGAATAATGCAGAGGATTATAGATGAGGAAAGACACTCTATCTTTTATCAAGATTTTTATTCAAGAGTTGTCTCAGAAGGATGCAAACGATTTATAATACTGTTCCAATAAATCATTGATTTTTTTTTTTTACAAAAAAGAATTCTGAATTAGATTATTAACAAATATATTTTAAATGAATTTGACAGTATCCTCCACTATCTTACACTGTGTGTTACGAGAAAAGAGCCATAGGCCTAGTTAACTAACATTTACAGAAAAAAGAAGGCTGAATATTAGCTTTAATTGCTGGAAAATGGAGGTTCTTTCTCATCCCTGACAGATCTTTTTCACTCCTGAATGCCTTCTAATTTTTCAATATTTTATCCAACGTGATATAAAATTAAACACTTGACTATTCATTGTGTCAGAAATATCCTTAGTTTTTCAGTCCTTGGATAAAACATATCTAAATGAGGTTTTCTTTTTTCTAAAACACTCGTTTTGAGCATTATAGTAATGGAGAGACGTATAAAATAAATAGTTATTCTTCTAACATAAGAGGAAAGCATTGTTCATTGAAAAAAATATATTGCAAATTATCGGCAAAATGCCATAATCAATATATTTTTTATTTTGTAAAGAAATTCCAATTAAATTTCTTTATAAATAATGTTTTTTTCTGTCGCATACTGACGACATCGACACCTAAGTAGTTGCACTTGTGATTTTTTTTAAGGAATTTAGCGTCTTATAGAACTCGTTTGATGTATAAAACATACACTGTTCTATATTTTAATTTTTTATTAGCTACTAATTTTCCTATATAAAACATACTGGAGTTACCGAAAGATCGTAAAATTAATTCCTTTTATGATGCGAAATTTCCCAACACTGATCAAAAAGCTAACTCTGTGTGGGGCGACGAGCTGTCTTTTCAGTTTGCCGTCGTTTTAGTTCGTCAACCAAACACATGTTTCGTGTGATTGTGTCATTCATCCTTTCAATCTGTTTTCCCGTGTTAAGGACAGACGAGACGCTCCTTAATAATATATAAAATTTTCCAAGAGTTTGTCATTGAAGTATTGCTACTTAAACATGTTTACTCACAAAAATTTGAGGTACCTTACCGGGCATTTCTGCAAGATACCAGGGGTAGTTTTTCTTATATAATACTTTTGTGAAGAAAAATAATTTTCCAATTTCAAATGTTTAAGTGTTTGGATTTTTTAAAAACGTTTAGAAACTGGTTTAGAAATCAGAATGTTATTGAAATTTCACACATTACGAAGATATACAAAACAGATTTTGAGGAACGTCTCGTCTGACCTTAAGAGGAGTAATTCCACGTTATTCACAGTAATGTGTGATAAATTGTCTTTTTGACAATATGTAACATTATACTCTTATATCATTATGAACTTTTACACATAAAAAGTCCACATCAAGTTTTTGGTGTATATTTTGTCTCACTTAATTTTTGTATAACATGGAAATAAAATAAGACGTTGGCATGGTATTGTTATTTTTATGGAGTCAACAAAGTTGTGGTGCGTCGACCACCGATATTTGATCATGAATGCTGGATCAGCATGCATGTGACAATTTGACCCTATCATTCATTATTTGGTAAAAGGACTATATATCTGCTTTCCTAATAATTTTGGTCACGGAGTTTATGAAATATTTAAATATAAATTATTAAAAAAATATTCTATAAATTCCTTGATAATTATCTTTAATGGTACTATAAGATATAATAAAATATGCGCGACATAATATTATACTGAAATTATATAATTTTGAACATCAGTATTCATTATGATTATATCCCTATTACCTTCTTTTTTCTTCTGTCATTATTCATTGATATGGCTCCTTATAACCACCTATTTGTCATTTACTGTATTCCATAAGACATAATTTGATTATATAGAACATATAAAAACATAGTTAAATTATAAACAAAATATATTATTTTATATATTCTCACGAATCTTTGGAAATGACATAATTGTTCTAATTATATGTGCTTTGAACAAGAGATGTTGATAAACTGGCAGCTGGTTTTAATGCCTTGTTTCAATATGTTCATCCCATAAACTTGAGACATACTGACCAATGTACCTTTATTTATTAATGCTAATGATAATTATCTATCAGTTGACGAGGATGTGATTAATTAAGTGGCAACATTTGGCAGAGTATGCATAAAAGACCAAAATTAAGTTTTCCTCGGCTTAGTGTGCTGTGATTTCACCAAAGGTAAGTATACAGCTGTAATTGTATAAGAATTATTTAATACATGTACATCATTTTAAAAAGGGTTCCAGGCAGGATATCGACCATTTTTTTAGCTTTAAAAGTAATATGCTTGTATGTTATAGTTTATTTTTTGTGAAAATACAATATAGTGTGGGACCATTTCGCCAAAGTACACTTTAAAAACAGTTTCTTTCTTTATATTGAAATTCTTTGATAAAATGCACGAGTAACTTGCTTAGAATGTAGATTATTATTTTTTCAACACTTTTATTGATAAAATCTTTACTGAGCACAATTTTATAAATATATTATTAATATATGATATATATGATAAAATATAAACATATTTATCGTTCTTTCAAAAACATAAAAAAGCGCGAAAATACAAAAAAAATAAAAGAAAGTAAATACTTTTAAAATGTCACACACATTAAAATGAATTGATCTTCTACACTTTAACAATGAAATTTATGTTTACTTATTTATTCTAGATGAAGAACCATTTGATTTTGTTCTCAGTTGGTATTGTGTTCCTCGTCTTAGGTATGCTTACTTTTTTATACTAGTATTTTGACTTTTTGAATTTTTTCCTAAGATGTCATTAAATTAAATATTTACGTTAAGAAGAAAAAAAATTGAAATGCAGGATCTGTTTATTTTAAGATTCACTTTTCATTTTAAATAAGAAGTCATACAGTGTTTGAAATAATATATATTATTAAATAAAAAAAAGCTTTGCTCATATAATATATAATTATTAGAACCATGAATTGAGTAGATCATATTAAAAAAAAATAATGACATGATTAAAATGATAGAGGCAGTTTCTGGTCGTCGACATTGTCAAACATACGACATCAACAAACAAAACTCAAGGATCCAGAGTTGGAAGGATGCAAAGAGAGCTTGTGAAAGAAAGCGGATGTCCCTCTTGAAAATTGACCATTTTGAGGAAGATGTCTTTCTTCAAAAGTTCCTGCAAAGAGAAAATCGTAAGCGATTATTTTCTTTTTCAAATTATGACAAATTTTTCAAATGACAAAATTGATAATGAATTTCTCTTATTGATTTTTGAAATACCTGAACAAAAAAAAAAGCACATATTTCCATATTTTGTCACAGAATTAGGTAAAACCTGCGGATTTTTAGTGTGGCGAAATCTTTGGCTTATTTATAGCAATTTTGTAGTGAGTTGCTTAATATCTTTAAACCGCCAAATTGTCGACGTCACTCTTCATTATCACTTCCAGATACAAGACAAATCACTTTGAATTACTTGAGTTATTTTGTTGTATACACAATAAAATTTCATCTGGTATAAAATTATATTTATTCAAAGGTTTGTTTAAATCTGTATTCAAATCTATCTTGAACATACTGAAACGTACCTAAGAGATGAATTTCCTCTCTATTGCAATGTCACGGAACTTTGTGTCCGTCAAAATTATTAGCAAATCTTTGATCAAGCAAAATGCTTAATTTTATACCTGATAAAGAAACCTGCTACACAGTATGCCACACTGTGGTATGAATATTATCTCTTAATTCAGTTTAAAAAAAAGGTATTTGAAACCACTATAAAAAGTATGAATATTTACTTTCTATCAGTTACATTTATTAGGTAAATTAAGAAGATTTACCTTTACTTATAACAATAGTTCTAAACATTAAGTACATTAAAAGATTTCCTTTATAACATTATAAACGTCATTTAAATAAGGAAGATTTTATTTATAATAATCCTATTTCAAAAATCATAAAGTGAGTACGCATGTTCTTACAGCTGGATATAATGCCGATGGATGGTTCATCGGAGGGGAATACCGTAGAGGGGAATGGAGATGGAGCGACGGGTCCCGAATGACCTACCAGAATTTCCTCGGGTCAGACAACGCTTTTACGGCTCGTTCCCAAGATGTCACAAACTACGCTTTCATAATGAAGAGAGGTTACCAGTGGGGATACGTTTCTCCCTTCGGGACCCAGAGAATGGGCTACATCTGTGAGAGTACGAGATGTTGAAATAAAAAGTTTGGCATTTAAAAATAGTTTTTACTTTTCCAAGAGAATTTTAAGTTTGCTTTGTTAATGTCGTGCAGTCATTAAATAAAACTAGAGCAAAGCTCGTTGCAAAGCAACGAGTAGGTCTTCCGTCCTGTTTTGACCGGAAGTGACTCAACAAAAGAAAACAATGAACTAAGTCGTCTCCAGTCACTTTATAATTTCAATTTTGCATCAAAACCGTAAAACAAGAGGACCATGGGCCACATCGCTCACCTGAGCACTGTGGCTAGGAAAAAGTAGAAATTGGTTTATTATTGAAAAGTTGAAATCCAAAAGTAAACCTTTGAACTGTTATGGTTTTGCTATTCTTGAGAAGATGATTTTCAAAGAATTTTCCTATATATTTCTATGTAAAACTTTGGTCGGCCATTGTGGTCCCGCCTTACCCCCGGGGGTCATGATATGAACAAACTTGAATCACAACTACCTGAGGATGCTTCCATATAAATATGATCAATTATGGCTTTGTTAAGAATTTTCCTATATATTTCTATGTAAAACTTTGGTCGGCCATTGTGGCCACGCCCTACCCCCGGGGGTCATGATTTGAACAAACTTGAATCGACACTACCTGAGGATGCTTCCATATAAATATGATCAATTATGGCTTTGTTATTCTTGAGAAGAAGATTTTTAAGAATTTTCCTATATATTTCTATGTAAAACTTTGGTCGGCCATTGTGGCCCCACCCTACCCCCAGGGGTCATAATTTGAACAAACTTGAATCTACACTATCTGAAGATGCTTCCATATAAATATGATCAATCATGGCTTTGTTATTCTTGAGAAGATTTTTAAAGAATTTTCCTATATATTTCTATGTAAAAACTTTGGTCGACCATTGTGGCCCCGCCCTACCCCCGGGGGTCATGATTTGAACAAACTTGAATCTACACTACCTGAGGATGCTTCCATATAAATATGATCAATCATGGGTTTGTTATTCTTGAGAAGAAGATTTTTAAAGAATTTTCCCTTATATTTCTATGTAAAACTTTGGTCAGCCATTGTGGCCCCGCCCTACCCCGGGGGGTCATGATTTGAACAAATCTGAATCTACTCTACCTGAGGATGCTTCCCCATAAGTTTCATCTTTCCTGGCACAGTGGTTCTTGAGAAGAAGATTTTTAAAACATACCATCAAATTTTTATTAATTACCAATTATCTCCCCTTGAATGAGGGCGTGGCCCTTCATTTGAACAAACTTGAACCCCCTTCACCCAAGGATGCTTTGTTGCAAGCTTGGTTGAAATTGGCCCAGCGGTTCTTCAGAAGAAGTCGAAAATGTGAAAAGTTTACGGACAGACAGACGGACGGACAGACGGACGCCGGACAAAATGTGATCAGAAAAGCTCACTTGAGCCTTCGGCTCAGGTGAGCTAAAAAGCTATTTTTGGCTATTTCCGGTTGACTGGAAGTGATGTCGACGGACGGAAAATTAAGTTTTATGCTTCCAGTGACATATGTTAATGTTTAAAAACTTGTCAAGAACAGCAAAAATATGCATTTTCTGACGACTTCCGGTTTGACGACTTCAATAGTTTAAGCTTGACATTTTGAACAACTTTGCTTCTTAGACGTATTACAAATTCTCAATACTTTTTGGGATATCTGGCAAAAACTTTTGCCCCCCCCCCCTAGATCCCTTAATTTAGGGGTCAGCCCTTTTTTCGAGATATCATTTGAAAGATCTTGTAATTCTGCACAAATTTTGTTCTATGTGTTTTAACAAAATATATATGAGCAGGTCCTCCGAGCTGCAAAAAATGATCAACGACACGACAAAATAAAAATTGACATATTTTCGGGACGCCCTGTTCCTTCCTCCCGACAAAAAAGTTATATGAAGTCATAAAAACAAAGAAAATAGAGAAACAAAAAATAACACTAAGACAACTTCCAAACACTCTATGTTTACAATGTTAACATGTTTAATTTGAATGTTTATGACCAATAGTAAAATAAAGAATTCTGGACCGCTATATGAAATACGCCTGTCGGGTTTAGTCTGGTGATGTGCGATAAAATTTACAGAATTTATAATTTCAATTATTTTTTCATTTGTTTACTTTATTTAATTAGACCTGGTTATATATAAAAATGCCTGTTTTGTCTACTTCGTTACTCGTGCACTGTAGAAAGACCATTAAATTTAAATATTTATAATACAATATCATCAAAAGTACATTATATTCTAATTTCTTACAAATTTATTTACATCAATAAATGATTATCATATTTAATTTTTAAAGTAATCAAAATTACCTTATTTGGATATATTTATAAATGTCGGATATATTCATTCATAGCAAAGTAGGGAAAAAAATCTACTTTCGTTTTGAAACAAGATGGAAGTATTGATCAGACTGAAAGAATTCTTTATCCCCGCTTTGATATCATGTATTATCATCATATGCTTTCATCTTGAGAAGAAGTATGTGCAATTATATGATATGATTCTAGAAAACAAAAGACTATTGTCATCCATGACACTCCTAGCAGAATCCGATAACACAACTCAAGGTAAGTTCACAGTGAAGAGTACAGTCGCGGATGTTAGCTGACGGACCCTGATGAAGTTTACCATTAATTGTAACGTTTGATTTTTCAGAGTATGAGCTGGATTCTCAATAAGTATAATAAACTATTATTAGTGAAAAGGAATCATTAATAATAAAGAAATAAAGTAGATAAATGAAAAACAAGAAAAAAAATATATAGAGCATGGTCTTGCGTGAATCAAATCAACTGAGAAATATAAACCCTGTATGCGGCTGATAAATTAAGGTATACTGATGCAAAAGTTGTAAAGGAAGTTGGCAATTGAAAGTTAAAGTCATCACGTTTATCTTAAAGCTTTGTTGATAATATAATCAGTGTTAATGAGCTGTTACCGGTATGTGTCACTGTCATCAATTGCTATTTTTTTTAAAAGTGGCAAAAAGAAAGTAAAAAAGAATGGCGAAAATATTATTTTACTGTACCATACAAAAGTGTGTGTACTACTTTCTAGCTGCTTTGTTTATTAAATGAATACTTATTAGTCCTATTTTTTAAATGCAAGTGCAGGCGTGAATCGTAAACCTACATACAGGAAACCACTTCTCGCTTGAAAGGGATACGAAATTTCTTGAAATACATGTAATTCATTTGAGGGATTACAGAAGGAGAAACAAAGCGTTTTCTGAAGAAGAATTTAATTGAAAAAATTCCCTAAATAAAATCTGGATCTATATAGACCGTTTCTTTTTTCAAATCAAAAGTAGGGAAACATGACAAAAATTGCATATATATTGTTATATTTCAATCAAAGTATTTTTTCAAGGACAATATTCAAATTGAAAACGGAGGTCTCATATCTGTGACCACCTACCTTTTATAACAAACTCACCGAGATAAATCGTATCGACATATTAAAGAATGGAAGTAACCACTGTTCGTTGACTATTACCTGTAAAAGGTACTTTTGTTTCAAGGGGGGGGGGGTGATATATTTTCCGTTTTCCGTTGCTTTCTATAGTGAAAAACGTGTTTTACCAAAATTATAGATCTATCTTTGTTTTCCCAAAAAAGTAATGTTTTATAAAAATCCATATAAATATCTATAAAATTATGGGAAAAAATTCGATTATGTTAACTTTTGAAAATTGTTTTAGAGGTAGGCGAGAGAGCTACACTATCGATCGCAGTACTTATGTCTGTTATCCTTACTTGCTAACAAATCTTTATGAGAAAAGCAATTATTCCAATTTTTCTATCGTCCACACTTTTGCACAAATACACTTACATGGATCACCTGCATATGCAGTATATGCCTCCCCGCTAAAACAAAACAAGTTATTGACGAACAAGTTGATTGAACAAAAAATTGACTCAACATTGTGCACATTTTATCGTCAATACAGTGACTTTGTCAGCAAATGCAATGTTTCAGCAAGTCGAAAGCAGACTGACGTTTTACTTAATTAGGGCATTATTTGCTCACTGGATTGCAAATTATAGCAATCTAATTAAAATTAGATGCTATAATGTAGATACTCTCGCATACTCGCTTCACTAACGTTAGTGTAGAGAGTAGGCGAGCGGATCAAACATCTAATTTTATTAGATTGAAATTATAGCAAATCATAATTTACTTAAGTGTTTCGTTAGGGCACACGCAGACCCATTCACGCACACCCTCACCCACCCATACTCACACATCCTCTCCCACCCCCTCACTCACACACACACCTTCAAATCCTCTCACTCTCACACCCTCACCATCATTTACACATCCCCATCTTCACAGACATCCTCTCGCACATGCCCTAACATCTCCCATCACAACATTTCACACAAATTAGATTGAAAATATTTTTAAAATGTTCAGTGTATTTCAATATGCCTTTTCTTTAGACTCAGTTTTAAATATTTAGAAATTTTCAAATTTCAGAAATTATGAAGATTGTAGCAGAATTTAAAAACAATATGCAAAAAATTGAAGGAAAATTCAACGAATTAGAAAAACAAATGAAACAACGATCAGAGCCTTTGGACTACAATGAAAGTCAGGGTAACTATTATTAATGTTGCTTATTTGGCATAAATGAAAATTTTTCAAAGTGCGTTAAATTTGGGACCAAGTTAACGCACTTTGAAAAAATATTTTGTTTATTTTCAAAGTGCGTTAATATCGGCCATATTAACTACTTAAAGTAGTCAATGTTTTAGCAAATTAGATATGATAAAAAATTATTTGAACCTGGTCGAATAACGATGACGTCAATTCAGGATCTGAGATATAGACGTTATACATATGACCCTAAGGGGTACGGAAAATGCAACAAAATGGATTATTTTTTAAGTTATTTGATAAGTTTTTAGAAGTTTAATTTTTTTTTTCTAATTCCTACATGCAAGATGATGGCCTTTATTTTACATTTATTAAATAGATTATTCTTGAGTTGTATAAGAAAAAATACTATTTATGCATTCTATATTCATATTTTTGATTTGTATTTCAATGTTTAGTCAAATGGCTATTGTTGCTCCCGAGTCTGTCTTCTATAAAACAAGAGGGTGTGCTATTACCGGTATTTTTTAAAAAAGAAATCTTATTATTTTTTTTCATTATTTTACGTTAACTTAATTTTATGGGGAGAATTATAGATAGGTATATTTGGTTAGGAAAAGCAAAGAAATTGATTGAGGGTCCTTCTGCTTGTCATTTCCTCTTTCTCGATGAGGATACATGTAGATCAATTCATCTGATTTTGGAAAGAAATATAAGGTAAAAAAAAGTGTCTATTACTAAAATCTAAATCTGGAAATTTTATTTGAAATATATTTTTTCAAAGTGCGTTATGTGCCTCCATGGTAAAAAATGTTGATTTACACGTTTAACGCACCTTGAAAAAAACTTACAATGTGCTTTTAAATTATGTCCCAAATTTGATGTGCTTTGAAAATTATTTTTCAAAATGCGTTGATTTTTTCCCAGTTTTAACGCACTTTGCATTTTTTTTTTCAAAGTGCCAAAGTGCGTTGCCAACAGTCCATACATATTAGAGATTCTTCTATCTGATCTTGTATGTATATTTGGATGCGTATCCGTATACGTATCGTTGTATGACGACGGACATCTCAATCCTTAATCTGAACTATTGCGTAAAATTTTCATCGCTATTTGTGGTTTAAAGCAGCCCCATTCATGCAATGGAAAATAGCCAATGATAATTCTTCTGATAAAATTAAAAAAGAAGACGAAGTTATATCAACCTTATTATTTTTTTTTATTATATTGTTTAAAAATCAATTTTGTTTCAAAACATTTTTCGGGAATCCCCCTTTTTTCTTTCCTCTCTTATAAAATCAGTGTATTTCATTGCTTCATTCTGTCTTTTTTTTATATATACATTGTTTCTTTGTATGACAGTTAAACCTTTCCCCAAACTTTGAAATACACAAAACGTTATCATCAACTCAATCGAAAAAAAACCTGTAGCCGATTTTAAGGAGACTTTTCAAATCAAATTCAAAATTCGCTTCCAGGCCCTACGAGGGCCATGCTTAAAAAAGCCAGTTTAAAACCCCCTCCCAACGGGCATGCACACTTATTTTGATAACGTTTGTTGACTTTCATTCATTTTATTTTTCAATGAACTACTTGAAAGATATATTTATTTGTCCCATCTCGCCTGTTGAAATTGCAACTTTCGAGCTTGATTTCGTTTTGATATGGTGTCCTTCAGGCGGGTTTGACTGGGAAAGACTTCCTGGAGACACAAAACATGTAGTAAAATGAAAATGCAGTGGCAAATTTCATTATTTTCTTTTGTAATATATGTGTAATATCATTTATAAATTGATATATAAACTATTTCAAACAACGTTCTTCGTTATTTGAACTCTCTTTTTTCAAACATCATTTAGGGCTTGATATTTAAATCATTTCAGAATATGTTTTTCATTATTAGTTATAAGGATTGTACCTCAACTTTATATGTTTTATTAGAAATATCACCACATCTCATTTCCAAATGAATGAAGTTAAAGCCAAAAACGAGGAGACTGAGATGTAACCAAATGGTTTAATTGGATCGAGATGTCTCTCATACCTCGATAGTCATACGGATACTTATACAGCTCCGTGATGTACAACAATCTATAATCATAATAACTAGATGCGATCTCCTTGCGAGCAACGAATTGGTCTTCCATCAGAATTTGATATACAAGAAACTCCTTACAAACAAACATACATAGCGGGTTCCAGTAAATGTTCTCGTTTAAATTCATCATTTCGGAAGTTCTATAGTCGATACAATAACTTGTCAGAAAATACAATTTATCATTGAGTCTAATGCTGACTGACGGTTTTCATACCATTATTTACACATTGAATTGTCTATACTGTTATATTCCGATCACGAGAAGGAGCACGGGCGGGTGTAACCGGTCGGCAGGGGATGCTCACTCCTCCATGGCAAATGATCCCACCTCTGATGTTTTGGAGGTCCGTGTTTGCTCTGCTGCAATTTTGTATTGTTTGAATTAATCATTTCGGAAGTTCTATAGTCGATACAATAACTTGTCAGCAAATACAATTTATCATTGAGTCAAATGCCGACTGACGGTTTTCATACCATTATTTACACATTGAATTGTCTATACTGTTATATTTCGATCAAGAGAAGGAGCACACGGCGGGTGTAACCGGTCAGCAGGGGATGCTCACTCCTCCATGACACCTGATCCACCTCTGATGTTCTGGAGGTCCGTGTTTCCTCTGCTCCTATTTTGTATTGTTTTATGAACCTTTTGATCTTGATTACTGTTCGTTATATACGTATATCTCCTTCTATAATTAAAATCAGATGAACATTATAGGTTCAGTATTGTATAGTGTATTGTTCTTATTTTTTGCGAGTACTTTGCGAGTACTTGTTATCAGGATATATCTTCAACCTAACAGAGCGAGAAAAATAATTATCAATCGAACGGTTGGTGAAGAAATTCTACATGAATTTCAGCACCATGAGATAAAGGCGAGTAATTTTGTTTCGAGAGTGGTGCTTCTTTCGAAGTTTCAATTACTTCCACAAGAAATAAAATATTTTCTTTTTTATATTTTCGTATGAAATGCTACAGCAACATATAAGTCACGAAACTATACAGAAAGTTAAAAAAAATAATAACATCAAATCTGTGTCTAAGCACCTTTAAAATGTGTAGCCAAAAAGGGTTCAACTGACGCACTAAAGTGCACTCATTCTTTTCACATGATATCAAAAATATTACAATTTTTTAATATTACAGACACGGAGGAATCATTGTCGTGGTGGATGTGGATTACTTGGAAACTGATTTATACGGCCGGCGTTTTCATGGTTTTAGTAACTATTTACATTTCAGGATTAGTTGTGACGGTAGGTAGAAGTGATAAGATATGACAATAACTTGTTTTAATATTATTTAAAGGTAATCTTATCTGAAGGCGAATAACATATTTTGTTGAGCTTTTTGTGATAAGTATCAATTTTTCTTAATTATTCAAAAAAAATTCTCAGTGAAACGGGCTCTGCATCATTGTTGTAAATCTAATGAATAAATTAAAGGATCAAAATGGAAACAAATATTCATGATTTAGAAAAAATTCATGATTTTGAAAAAAAAGTTTGCTAGTAAAAATGATTTTGTTTTTATTTTGTAGGATTGCTTTGGAAAGATCCGAAATTCGCTGACAAGGGATACCCCTTAGGCCCTCAAGGACCCTCTATACACAAGTGTAAAAACATTTTTTGGACATTGAGAAAATATACTGTTTAAAGGAGCTTATATTGAGCTTACCTAATTAATTTTCACTATATGGTGTGTGGCATTTACCTCGCACCATAATGTTCAAAGACAACACAGTATCAGTGAATAGAAATCCCTGTTGTTTACTTTCATATAGACAATACATTTAAAGAAAAAAATGTTTAATAATTTATCTTGGCCTTTTAAAATGTTAAGAATACTTGAATTAATTATAAACTGAGTAATATATTGTAAATTTCTATTTTTTAAAATTTAGATCTAATGGCAGATCACTCTAACTGCAGAAAAATACCATAGAATCAGAACTCTTTAGTGTGCAGTGTAGAGAGGGTTCTTAACTCATTCCCAGTGATAGTTTGTTCCTGGGAACAGCAAAAAATAAAACATGAATGCTGGGAATATGGTCCACACACGTAGCGCCACTTGGTGGTACCACCATATCCCATTCTGATAGCGGAAATGATAGCCCTAGGGCCCCTCTCTCTTGCCCCAGTAATGAATTGGTGGACACTTAATAAATAAGGGGTGTTATACCTGTTTGAAATATTTAAAATGCTCTTGGTACCACTTGGTTACGTCACCACAAAATATTACTGATACCGGTATGTAATACTTCTATGAACCCATTACGTAACCCAAGTAATTGTTCGAAACATCATTCATTCAAGTTTACCTTTGTACCCTGTTTCAGTTTACAATATTTACAACTTTCAGGTTAGCTAATAATTATTCCCGTCTTGCTCCTGACACCCCTGAAAGAGCTAAAAAGGGATTATCCCTAAAGTACTTAACGTATTCCGGAGGCTTGTTTGATCAAGTAAGAAAGATTGTTAAAGTAATTTATTTCTAACTTTTCTGCCTAAATATCGAATAATTTTACTTATACAGGTGTGTTTTACAGCCTCCAATTGTCGTAGAAATTACGTAACTAACTGTCACATTAATTATCCAATTATTAAACATTATAATTATCTATATTTACATTTGTTTTCCCCTATATAACACTATTTGAAAGGGCGTTTAACATCTCGTCACGTGACCATAAATTGATTGTTTAGTAATAAGTGATCTACATAATTTGGTATTGACGTAATAAGCGATCGACGTTATCAACTTATCAACGCATTCAACTTATTCCGTTGAGTTTTGAAAAAAAAACTTTATGGTTTTCAAACTTTACTAAAGTACCATACTATTTGTAATAAATCAGTCACAAATGTAAATATTAAATATTATCACTTTTTTAAAGTTTTATTTGGATGTAAAACGGGTTGGCACATGATCAAATCTTCCATAAAGCCCTTCGGGATTTACGAGATTTGATCGCGTGACCAAAAAAGATACCTTATTTCTTATAAAATAAAGTATAAAAACGGTATTACGTTTGAGTATTCCTGCATTTTTAAAGTTTATATAAAAATATGTAAATGTAATTTTACATGCAAGACTATCTCAGTTTTTGATGAATGTCCTCATTCATGTACTGGCTGCTAGCTTCATCCCAGTCATTTTTTAGCATAGATTTATGCTTTCATCTTTATAAATAAAGTTTGTTTTTTCTTTGAGTGTTATGGACAAATTTCATTTTCTTGTGAATTTATCTGAAATCATGCATTTTTAAAGTTTATATAAAAAATATGTAAATGTAATTTTACATGCAAGAATATCACAGTTATATAAGGATGGTTATTCGGACGGAAGACCTCTCCTTGCTCGCATTGGGTTTCATTTCTTTTTCTGATTATATTTCTGAAACTGTCAATTTTAAATCTATATGATTGCATGGATAAATAAACTTTATCTAAAATCTTGAAAACTTTGTCATTGGCTTACATTATATCAGTAAGCTTGAGATAAAAGATACCATAGAGTCTGACACATCTGTTTAAAGTTTGGATCTGTTACTATAAAAAGACTTTAATGGTAATCTAAAAACCAAGCTCTATGATAAACGTGATGACTTTAACTTTTCTATGATCAGCTTCCCATACGTATGCACCAATATACCTTCATCCCTTGCATAACTCCTCTATATCTCTCAGCTGATTCGATATACAAGACTGTATGTATGATCTACGTATGCACAATTTTATTTTTGTAAAACTGTAAATAAACGAATACTAATTAGACAAATAACAAATGAAACTAAAATTAACAACACAACGCCCACGAAAACAAAACAAAACAAAAGCCATATCCAAAAGTCTTGTAGATAAAGTTTATGGGCTGTTTTAACAGCTGAGTAACAAATATTCATCAAAAGGAATTTTATCGAAGTGTCGAGTAAATATTTCTTGGAACAAAGTTTTCTTCACTTATATTAACACTCTGACTTCGAATTCATAGAGAGTGATAGAGTTTTCCGTTTGTAAATCCTTAATTTGGATTTTAACGAACTGACCACGTGCTGTATTTTGACACATTAAATGAACGACCTCAGCATTTTCACCAGGCCCTTTTGAAGTTCCACATTCGCTTGTAAATGCCGAATTTTCTTCGCCAAAGCTTACAAAGACATCGTGAAGACGATAACCTACAAAGAAACATTTTATTCGTCCAACATTTTATCTAATGGATATGTTCTGGAAAAATATAAAAGGAGAAAACAGAAATGTAGAATAGTTTTAAAAAAGTCAATGAGTATAAATATTATTTGAATAAATGTTTATATAAAGTACTATGCATTGTTTTAAGTAGTTTGCCTGTGGTGTTGTGACATGAAAAATAAAAGCTTTTTTGAAAGAAGCAATCACAAACAGTGTTTTGATGCTAAGGATATTTTTGCACAATTTCTTTACAGAAAATACTAATAAACCATACGAGGGCTGTTCAATAAATAATGTCCTCGATGCTCGGAAAGAAGCAAAAGACGCTTTTCAATGATTTAGTCTTCATGATTTAACTTATTAATCTATTTCAATTAAAACACATGCCCGTAACATTTTTTATCCAATTTCTGATTGTTTTTAGAAATAATTTTTGGGTGTGACCCTTAGTATTCTGGAAAATGCCAGATCCGATGATTTCTTGGACTTCTTTCTTCCTTCTGAAAGGTGTTTTTTTAAAGTTTAGAAATAGAAACAAGTCAAAAGGTCAAAGATCTAGCGAATTTTGTTATGTGAAAAAACATTAACTTTCTGTTTATCCCGAAAACACCTTTACTCTTCAGGGCGTGCGGGTTTGGACGCTGTCATGAAGAAATTTAATGAAGTAGATTCATTATTCTGGGTCCTTCCTCTAATAAACCTTTCGATTTTTTTGCAAAAAATTTGCTTTCTTGCCTCCTCCAGAAATTTAACTGTCTCCCGGAATACGAATTTGAACAACAATACCACTAATATTAAAGAAAATTGCATATAAATCTGTCTTTCTGCTCTTGCAATTCTTTGCTCTTGTCAGACCTTCGCTGTTTTTATCAAGTACCTCTTATGGTAAATTTTGTTTTGAGGGTTTTAATCAATAGATTCAAGTTCCATTATCTATTTAAATATCAAACAAACGTGGATAACTACAAATACTGATATTTTAAAATAATTGTTAATACATTCGTACACTTTGTCGTTTTCACTCCTTTTTCAAGATATAGGGTGACCTTTGAGTACTAAGCTTTTTTTTACCTCAAACGTTTCTTAAAAACAGTGTAAACTACTCCCGAAATGATGTCTATCAAATTTGCTATGTGTCTTAAAGTCAATCATACATCATCAAATATTATTTGTTGAAATTTGGCAAACAGTACATAAGATGTTATAGTTTTTTTTTGGCAAGGACGGTACCCATTTTTGATGCCCATTATATAATTTTTATCATTGAAATCCACCTGCTCATGTTGTATAGAACAGGCATTGGTTTCTGTTAATGTCACATTTTTCAGTGGATATTTCTTTGGGATTTTTAACAAGTTTTACAGCAACTTTAATGAAGCTTTTATTTTCACTCTTGTTTACTTATTCTTTACTATTCATTTATAATGCAGTGTCTCGAATAGCCCTTGTTTTCCAGCTTCTCACAATCAAACTATGTGATGAAAAGTGGTCACATAAACTGTTATAAATTCATTAAAGATAAAATAATGAGAGAAATTCAAGCTCAATGTCATATGATATCTGTATTGTATGTCATACAGTTCAGGACATTATTTACTGAACAGTCCTCGTATATGGTTAACATGAAACAGCACAACTGTAAATGATGCAGATGCGTGATAAATTTCACAGATCCCTGAAAACACCAGGATGGGATCAGGTGCATAGGAGGAGCTAGCATCCCCTGTTGACGTGTCACAGCCGCTAAAATTTAATCATTGTTATTGGTCTGGTAGTTGTTATCTGTACTAAATTAGAATAAAATGACCTAACTAGTGGTTTGAAATCTTATATATCTTTTCAGTATAGACAAGGTCGTTATTAAAACCATAGAATTTATGAAAAAGCATACTTAAAAGGAATATTTGAATCCTTTTTTCTCTAATTATAGTTTTTTCTCTACATTTTGACAATTTTCCTTTTAATCATTTACTTAATACATGCAAATATTGTAGAAAATAATATGACTTATGTAGCTTTTTTATTTAGCCAATCGATATGCAACTTTAACATTACAAACAAATATACATATATTCTGTCAAGTGAAGCAAATTCATGTTTAATGTTGTGAATTTCATGAATATATTGCAATATTAATTTATCATATAAAATGAATAAAAGGTAAGCATTTGCTGTAAATTCACTCGAAGCTCCAATCTAATTGAACCAATGTAAATACTTTACCACTGCTGTCAAGTCGGTTAAACAGTGTGACGTATTTGACGTTGAAGACTGAACCTAATTTGATGACAATCCATGGGTTGATTTCACCCAGAGTGTGTACACACTGCCCGGCAGAACCGTCAACAACCACTCTCCCGTCAGTAGTATAGCTCGGATCATGGTGGGGCGGGTTGTGTTCTGAGCTCACGAGTACAGGTCTTTTGAGTGCTACATTTTTTGTTTTTAATTCTGTTAACAAAGATTTATCAATTTCATTAGAAAGATTTTGAATAATAAAATCAACTAAAGCAACAAGTAGGTTTTCCAATGGACGACGGACGCTGGAAGTAATATATTAAGAATATGTGTCCTGATAATGATAAAATGAAGGCAAGGAATCTTTCTGCAAATGGCACCAAAAATCATTTTTAAGAACTATCGGTTTCGATTTTCTGACTTTTCCGACCATTCAGTTGTCACTTCCAGCTGAGGCTAAAAGTAACAAAACCAGTAAAAAACTTAAAAGTAAATCAAAAATCAT